AGTCACTTCAGGTGTCATGATTTCTTTTCGACTGTCACAATTCGCTCCACAACCCATCGATCTCTTCCATTCAGCTTTCTTTTTAATTCCTTTGTACTTTGCAGAACACGTTTTTCCATGCATTTTGTCATTAGCTATTGATATCCTAGCTCAGGAAAAACAAAATCTTTTGAGATCGCAGTAGCAGATAATACAAGCAGAAAGGCACTAAAAACTACCTTCACCTATTTCCTTCTCTTAAAAAAAAGCAGAGTAAAGTCTGGTATTAATTACCGCTAATTGTAGAAAATTACCTCAGTTATTTTTCTATATTTTTTTGTTTTATGATGATAAAACGTTCCTAAAAAACATCAATTTTGATAGGTGTTTTTATTATTATCACAACCAACTATACACTAACTTTCAAAGGTACGCGAGGGTAAAATCTACAAAAATGGAAAAGTAAACCTTTGACTAATACCACATTGTACATAAAACTAGCAAATAATATTTTTACGCATAAAGGAATAAAGCGCTATGTACAAAGATTAAAAAAATTAATTTTGCTAAATTAAATATGAAGTCACATTTTGGTCACTGATAAATTGCTTTTTAAAGCTAAAAACCAAACAAAACCAAAACTTTTTTTTAATGGAATCCTTCTGAAAATATGTAAACATCCTCTGTATGCGACCACCCCGAATTGTCGCATAAACTTTATCACGTATGCCCTTGCTTTCAAGGGGAAGCTGAACCATTGTAGATGCTAGCAATTTGCGTTCTTCCATTTGGAAAGTTTCCAACTGTCTGAGGCTGGCTGGAGGAGATAAACGCAGACAGACCGCGCTCCTGAGGGCATTTCAAATATTTTTATTGGAATTCAGATGGGAGAATACAGCGCCCTTTCCATATGAGAATTGTCCTCACTCTCCGATTTCTCATTAACAATCTTGGTGCAATGAAGGCGGCATTGTCATCCATAAAGAGGAAATCCTAACCAACGGCTGCAGCTGAGAATCTCACAGTGGAGTGTAAGATTTCATCTCGACGCCGCACAGCAATCACAGAACCTACTCTTAATGTGGGCGGCTGGGTACAGCATCCTGTTGGAATTCCTGTATGCATCATGATGCTGCCATTTCTGAATGGCTGATGTTTGATGATATTCTGGGCAGGATTCCTTGAGTCTGGTTTCCTCCATACTCTTATATCCTTATCATCTGATTTCAGAGCAAATCTGGAGTCATCCGCGAACTGACGTTGCGCCAGTCTGAGACTGTCCAATTGAAATATAGACGACACTACTTCAATCTTTCCCATTTGGTCCCATCTTTCCCATTGGTCGGTTAATGTATAACAAATATTTGATACTATATAACAGTTGATACTATAGTCAAATTCCTAAGCCAATACCTATAGGCTTAGGAATTTGACTTTGCAAACATGGATGTACCAGTTCTGGAGGTCACTTCTTGGTTTCCCTTGGCTGTTATAGCAATATATCAATCTTCCGAAGAGTTGGTAACCCTTAGTAAATCGGGGGTAGGTGCCTAGACAACTGCTTAACTTGTTCGGACTTGTTCCCACATTTCGAGAATTTATCGAATAAGCAGAGCAAATAAAATAGCAATATCTTTCATTAACTGTTTTCATCAAAAGTTTTCCTATAAAACTTCTGAATATTTCTTATCAGCCTCAGAACCATAATTTAACAGATGTTGCTCAACGTTCCCAGCTATCAACAAATTTTACCGAGCTGCACATCGAATGGACATTATCTGAGCGCCTTTGCATTACTACCAGCAATCAAGTCCTCGGTGCCGATTGGATAGATTTTACATGCCCCTACTCTAATGATACATAACAATCACAAACATCCGAACATTGTTTGGGACTCAAGTAAAACCTTATCAAAATTCTATCGCAAACCCCTATATCGACAATCCCACGATAAAGGAATTAAATAAAATTTGCTGTAAGGCGAGCAATTAACTTGAAATTAAATTACAAATCGAGGAACAAACAATATTCAAAAACAGACACAAGAAATTTAATAATAAAATAGCACTGTTAACAAAATAAGCAAAAGTAGCCAGCCTGAGATATGTACAAAAATAGGAAGGAAAAACGGCTGTTATCATCGAGTTCCGCTGCTTGTTACTAGACTAAATCGATTCCTGGGGACAGGAAAGTACAACTTAAAATTGCATAATTTAAATCATACCCTTCAATTGTGTTCTTTCCAACAAGTAATAGAGTTTCATCATTAGTTTGAATAATAATAGCTGGTAAAGATCTAGCTTTCATCGGTGTAGTTTAATAACCAAAGAAACGTTTAAAATTTCTAATTAAAACCTATGGATGTTATGACAGAAAAAGAAATATTCCAGGGTTAATTACCGTCAGTCTCAATTTTTCTTCTGATATATTTTTTGTTGATTATACAGGCTTCTACGAAACCTTTCACATTTTATAAAAACGTTTTTTCCGAATAGATGTGAAATATATTGTTTTGAAATTATCCAAAAACCTTGTTTTAGATGGACGTTAGTTTTTACAGAAATTCCTATGCATTTTGAGTTGACGCAGCTCGAGCTTCTCTACTTCGAAATCAAGTCAGATTTCTCCGAAATGCGTAGAAATTTTCTGTAAAACTAAAGCAATGGAAGTCTTCTAAGGGAATTACTCATGCTTCAAACGATTCTGGACTTCTGAGAATGCGATATGATGTTCATTATCGGTGCTTTTTTATGTTCTCAGATATACTAGTAACAATGAGAATGGTCTCCTATGAGAGGTGGTCACCTCAAAAAGTCCTTGTATTTGAACTTTTGTAATTTTCAAATGTCTTAGTTTTAACGAATGGTCTTTCGAACAAAATATTTTGGAGATACCCTTTTCTCATAAAAATGTACTCTTCTCCTCCTGATATTAACGCAATGTGAATCCAAACATTTCCCTTTTCTCTTTTCCTTAGGCAAACAGCCCTTGTATTCTGCTCGATTTGCTGCATTCAGCTAAGTAAGCAAACATAGAACTCCCTTTTTATGGATATTTATTCTGAGACATCCATTTCTAGCAGAACCATTTTAGTAAAATGCGAAAGCTGAATCTAGTGACGAAGAATAATTCTTGTTTTGGAATTCTGTATTAGATGGATATATTACAGTAACGTGGTTATTTAATACGTTTAACGCGAAAAAAAAAACTTTTAATAAAATTTTGAACTTTGTTTAAAATATTTTTGCTTTTTTTTCCCCTTTTCGAAGACTGGCAGGATCCTATAGACCTCTTTTTAGAAACACTCTGTTAGTTCTTAATATCGTTTTGTTCATTTTAACTCATATTATTTCTTTATTGTTCACTCATTTTATACAGCGAGAAGCTTTATACATCTGTTATTAAGACACAATAACACGTCGAACAAATACTACTTCAGAAGTCAAACAACAAAATTCAGCGTTATATTTTTAAACTTTCACAGGACTAGTTTCGATGGTTTTACCGAACTACCATCGTCAGCTGCAAAAGCACAAATGAACGATATAGGATATAATGATCAGATAAGATAAAAAAAGGCCTGGACAGAAAATAAGCTAGTGGCGCCATCTGTTGATGAAACCAGAACTAAAACATAATTTCTTTAAAGGCCGAAGGCAAAAATGGATTGGAATTAGGATCGTTAACTAGAACAGAAGTTCGTTAACTAGTTCATTTGTGCTTTTGCAGCTGACGATGGTAAAACCATCGAAACTATTCCTGTGAAAATTTGAAAATATAACGCTGATTTTTGTTGTTTGACTTCTGAATTAACATCTGTTATGTTTAGAAAGGAAGAAGTAATAGGTTGCGAAGGTGGAAAACTATCCGTTAATTCGACATATTTTTAAGAGCTTCAGTTAAAATGAGCTCCAAACTAAAGCGAAATTTCAACAGTTATTGATATTTTAGTAGCAGAAATGAAATAAAGTTACGTATTATAAACTTAAGAGCTTAATATTCTTTCTGAAATATCAAGTCTAATAGAATAAAAATACCGAGGGAAAAACATTTTTTTTTTTTTTTCTTTTCTTTTTTTTTCTTTTTTTTTTCTTTTTTTCTTTTTTTTTTTTTTTTTTTTTTTTTTTTTTTTTATTTTTTTTATTTTTTTTTTTTTTTTTTTGTCAAGCTTAAAGTCTAAAACAACTTAATTTTGAAAAAATAAATCCTTAAAATAGATTTCAAAGCTTCTATTTCTACTAGCTATACATCGATCACTGGCTGGTACGGTTGCGCAACTAGTTGCGCGAGCATATACCTGTATAGTAGTTTACGTACGTAGTGCAAAATCTCTCTAATATAGGACTATCCCGATTAAATTCAATACATTTGACATGAACTTTTACGGGTATCAGTTTTCTATATCATAAAGTATATATTATATAATAATAAACACATTAGTAAACCTCATCCAGCAATGCTAACTTAAAATGAATATATTTTTAATTATTTGAATAATTCATGATTTATTCATTATCGTCAAAAGCAATTTGCTTTTAATATCGATTTTTTTTTTTTTTTTTTTTTTTTTTTTTTTTTTTTGTGTGTGTGTGTGTGTGTGTGTGTGGTTCATTTTGATGGTAACGCGGGGCGTGATTGGGCCCAATCGCTCTTTATCCGGCCCTGAGTAAATAAAGTAATAAAATATTGACTGTAGTATACGAATATAACGGTCAATCTCTATGAACACAGCCGTATAATATCTTTGGAATTTGATTTGTAAATGTGATTAATCGAAAATTATCTTCCTGGTTTCATCCATTTTCATAAATAGCAGCTACTCGATAAAGAATTTCGAGAAATTTCTCAACTTTGTCATTAGTGCTGCCATCTGGTGATGAAATAGGATCCAAATTAAAAGGATATAATAACTCTGAATTCACGAGTATCTTGTTAATTGAAATTTAATAATATATTCTTCTCTCGATAATTATCTGTTGTTTCAATTACTTGCTATCTAATGTATATAATTTCTTTCATAGGATTCCAGATTCAATAATAAAGTTGATCAAAAGACGGGCTATACGACAAGAAATATGCTTTGCATGCCTATATTAGACGTTGACGGTGAAGTAAAGGGCGTGGCTCAAATAATAAACAAGTGCGGAGGAGAAGAGCCGTTCACAGATGCTGATGAAAAGGTAACGTTACACATTATGTATATGTGTTGACGAAATGTAAGGCCATAATATAATCATCCTTGAGCAAACAGGTATCGATCGCTTTATTGTAACGAAAATACCTAAAAGAATTTCCGCTGAAATAATTTTTAGGTGTATTTAAAAGAAAATCTTTTCATTCATTAGAGACTTATGATTGAATTTTTAACAAGTGAAACTGCATCATTAATAACAGAAAATAATAATATTTTTAAATTTAGTACAGAATATTATTTATAGTTGTTTGATTTAATATTAAACAATAGTTTGGTAGAATTTTAAAAACTTCAAAAATGTGTTTATCTTTCTTGCTTTTATTTTTTAATAACACAGCCACTCCGTGGATTTAGGCGCCTCTATATGATTTCCTAAGTTGGCTACTGCTGAATCCGAGCTTATTAAAGGAAGTTATTATTTTGGAGTTATTTAAAAAAGATGCGTTTTAATTTTGAAATTCTGCTTAAGAAATTTGAAAAGGCTGGAAGTGGAATATATTTAATGTCAGTGTAGAGTCTAGTTCTCACATCTGTAAATAAAAGATAATGCCTTTAGGAAATCATTGCATTTAAGAAATCATGTACCTCGCTTTTTAAAGCTACTGAGTACTGTCAGAAATAGGTAAAACCTGATTCCATGTGTAGTTTCAGCACACTATAAGTTTATTCTAATGATAATTCTGCTGTTCTAAATAGGTTGCTGTTAATATTAATTTCATAATAGTAAGCACTTAGTTATTTTAACGTTGATATTAATGTTTTAACAATAAAAATTTTTTATTGTGACTAATCTCAGTCTGACAGTAACATCAGAACAAGCCTAGGAAATTCATGGTGGCAAGGAGTGCAAGATAGCGCCTGTCGTTGGCAAGAGCCTTGAACAGTTATAGTGATACTTTGAAACGAATCTGGAACTCTACTAAATAAAACCTTTTAATTTTTTTGGAAGATATTAATTATATTTTATATCTTACATAATCTATCGGAACACTAAATACACTTTTTACTTCCTTGTGCGAAGTAAAAAGAAAGTATTGTAATCGCGAAAAATTTCGGGTATCATATTTCAACGAAAATATCCATTTTGACCGCTTTCGAATGCAATTTAACGATAACTCTGCATAACATCTGTACGTAAGCACAGAATAAAGGACTCCTTTTCCCCCAAAAAATTATAAAACTGATTAAAAATGGATTCTGAAGACATTTTTTCGTGGCATCTGTACGTACGTACGTATGTATATGTATGTATCTCGCATAACTCAAAAACGAGTAGCTTCAGAAAGTTTAAATTTTGTATATAAGACTGTTATAACATATAGGACTGTTATAACATATAGATGTTATAACAGTCCTATATACAAATACTATATCCTATTTTGGTTGCAATCTGACGCACCAAAAAAATATAAATATGTATATATATCCACTGTGTTACTCGGCTCAGTGAGCTCACTTTCTTTATTCTTATATGTTTGTAAATTGTGCATTTTATGCTAAAAATTATAAAATTAGGTTGTTCTTATCTTCCGGATAAGGTTTTTATGCCTTTAGTTAACCTGCATGTTATAGTTGTAGAATTTTAAACAATTTAGAAGTTGTTTAAGTGCGGTTAAGCCTAATTTTTGATTACCATAGCAGCCATATTTGTTTACATTTGAAACTTAACAGAATTGTGGATTTGTTGCCAATGTAGAAAAACTAAGCTTCGCAACAACAAAGTAACGTCTTCTTTTATTATTACGAATTAAATTATGTATAATTCATTCTGTAATTATCATTTAAGTTATTAAATTATCCATATATTGACTCAGCATAGCGTCCAGAACAAAGTAAGTCAGTTTCTATGCCTTCAGTGCCTCTTCGCCTTGCGAGACCCAATGCAAACTTTCAGTTTTGTGCGGCGAAAAATCTGCCTTCTTGCCCTCTGGCCGAATTGCTTGTTTTGCGTAGAAATTGTTTTAACTGTATTTATGTTTTGCATTTTTCAATTTTAATAAAAACATTTTGAGGTTTTATGTATTTTTGCCTTGTCGCGAAGTGAGAACTGAATTAATTAAATGAGAAATATATCTCTAATGAAATTTGAGGAAATAAGTTTAAATGAAATGCAGAAAAAAAAAAAAAAAAGAGTGTAAAATTTAATATTACGTAGAAGGAATGTAGTGCTTACATCAGACTTTTTAATTATCAGAAAACAATTAGGCATTAATCAGTAGCAATATAATTGATTGATTGTTGAATTATAATCTACATTCATGTCCATAAATTAAGGATAATGCAAAATCAGGCAAAGGAAGAGTTAGAAGCAAAACAAATTTGACTTATTTGTACAGCTTATTTATTAAACAAAAGGTAAAGAGCAAAAAAAGATGCTATATGTTTGATATTATGAAAAAAATGGCGATTTTTTCTCCCTGGAGCAAATTACAGAAAAAAAAAAACTTTCTCCAAAAAACAATATTACATGGTTGGTATAATTGTTAATACACTGTATGTCTCCCAGACGATGCAATACAGTCCATACAACGCCTAGGCATGCTGAGTATCAAATTATCGATCTGATCTTGGGGGAATATTACATCACTCAAAAAGCAATGCACTCCGAAGTTCCGGTAGACATGTAGGAGGAGGTTGACGGGCTGCAACTCGTCGGCCAAGCATGTCCCACACGTGTTCTACTGGATTCAAGTCCGGTGGTGAGAATGCTGGCCAGTCCATACGGGTGATATCCTCCGATTGAAGGCATTCGCTTACGATGTTTGCACGGTGAGGACTGGCGTTGTCATCCATAACACAAATTGTGCGCCCATGGCGCCCCGAAACAAATGTACATGTTGTTCCAGAATGACGTCCCGATAGATTTGGCTTGTCATGGTTCCAATTTGAACATGAAGGTCAGTTCTGGAACCCAGAATAATTCCACCCCAAACGAGCACTCCTGCACCACCGTAACGGTGTCGTTCAATGATGCTTTTTTGGTGGTAACGGGTACCTGGAGCTCTCCATATGAAAGTCCGGCGAGAATCAGACTGCAAGCTAAACCTGGACTCGTCGGAAAACATCACACAAGCCCACTGTTGCGGTGTCCACAGTGCATGCTCTCTACTCCAGGCTAACCGCAGGCGACAGTGAGTTGCAGTAAGTGGAACGCATCTGACAGGTCTACGAACATATATAGACCAATCTGCCCTAAGCGTCTGTACACGGTCTGCCTTGAAATTGTCGTACCAGTGGCTGAAGAGAGCTGACGAGACAGGTCTGAGGCTCTGCTCTGCCTATTTCTTTTGGCAGTAACTGTCAAATACCGGTCCTTATTCGGCGTTGTAACTCTGGGGCGACCTGTGCTGTAACTTCTATTCACATTACCATCGTCTTGGAATCGTTGTCAAAGCCTGGAGATAACACTCTGGGCAATTCCAAGTTCATCTGATACTTCCAGTTGGGTACGCCCACATTCCAGACGGCCGATAACTCTACCACGTAAAAAATCATCCAAATGCGTCTTTTGTGTCATAACTATTCGGTTATTGCACTGAAATGCTTATAAAGCGCCTAGAACAGTGTAATTGCGCTTTTGCGCTTACTGCGCGCACTGAATAACTCACACTTCTAATTCAGTTTAACTGCAATTATAGAGAGAATGTTTAAACACTTTTAGAACGAATTCGATAAAGAATTTTGAAAAGCAAATATTTTGGAATAGAAATCTCTGGCAACATTGTATTAACTGAGATTAAGTATATGTTCTGTTACTCTTAAATGTATTCTTCTTTCAAAATGTCACATGTAAACACGCTGTAGATTGAAAAATGTAGTTTCGCTGATTCCGAAGATAAATGCACTCTTGGACGACAAAAAAAAAAAAAAAAAAAAAAAAAAAAAACGCGCACAACTACGCATCGAGAAGGTATATAAAGCAAATTGGACACAAATTGATATGCATACAGGTTTCGACGGAAAATGCAAAATTTTACATTTTGGCTGTCAATGAATGAATGGTTGTCGCTACAGCGCGTCTGATCTGCGCAACTGGCAGGATATTTAAGAGGAGTAATTACGATTCCAGGTCATAAATTCTTCATGAATTTCTTTCCGTGTACTCTGGTAGACAGTAACTATGCCTCGCATACAGGTGCGCGAATAATATGCGCAAATCTCAGAATTTGAGAGAGGTCGTGTAGTTAGCCTCAAAGAAGCCGGTTGCTTTTATCGGCGAATAGCTCAACACTTGAGCAGGAGCGATGCTACTATTAGACAATGTACAATGTTGGCAGGAACGGGCGAACCATGGCCGCAAACAGAGTCAAGAAGGAAGCGATAGGGCTAGAGAACCGACAGAACGTGGAGACCGAGCAATCGTCAGTGCGGCACTCACAGGCCCAGATGCATCATTATCATCGATTGTACGCTCAACTAGTGCTTCAGTGACCGCAACGGCTCACAGAAAGGGAGCTAAGGTCGCCGACTACCATTGACCTCCGTACAACGTCAAGCCCGTTTGCAGTGGTGTCGGGCTCATTCGCACTGGTATGTCACTGACTGGAGTAGAATAGTCTTCAGTGATGAGTCCCGCTTTGAACTGAGCCCCGATGATCAGCGAAGGCGAGTCTGGAGACGCCCCGGACAGCGGTGCGATACCAACCTGACTGTCTTCCAGCAGACAGGCCGACAACCAGGAGTGATGGTCTGGGGTGCCATTTTCTTTCATAGTATGACCCCTTTGGTTCTCATCCGTCGCAACCTTAGAGCACAGCGGTACGTCGACGAAGTTCTAAGGTCCGTTGTGTTACCCTTCATGTCACGCCACCCTGGGCTTACATTTCAGCAATATAATGACCGCACCACACTGCACATGTTTCTACTGCTTGCCTTAGTGCTTGCCGAACATAACCTTGGCCAGCAAGGTCGCTGGATCTCTCTTCTATTGAGCACGTTTGGAGCATTATGGACAAGGCCCTCCAACCAAATCGGGATGTTGACGAT